AGAAAATGCTGTAACATAAATATTAAGTCATTATTAAATATTTTCAGACCTATTTGAAACTCAAACCAAAATGAATAATTCAATATAAAATTAATTGTCTTGTTTTCTATCTTTTAATTTACCTATTTCAAAAATATTTCCTCACTGTGTTAATATTAAACTTGCTCTCATTTCCACTTACAACAAGTAATTTTTCCTTATTAAACGATCATAATTCTAGGAATTTTCATATTACATTATTTAGAAACGAGTATAAAAGGCAACTTTTAATTTCCTACTACACCTATTTTTATATGTATTTGACACGAATAGCAAAACGTACGTACATATATAATAATAATCACATGCCTACTAATATAATAAATGCGAAAGTAACTCTGTCTGTTACGCTTTCACGACTAAGCCACTGAATTGATTTTAATGAAATTTGGTATAGAGATAGAGTTGACCTTGAGAAAGAACATAGGATAGTTTTTATCCCAGACTTTTGAAAAGTTCTCTTGGAAACGCGATACAACCGAACTCCACGCGGGCGAAGCTGCGGGCGGAAAGCTAAATAAATCTGCTCATCCAAGGATATTGTTTCAGAAAAGTAATTCTTGCATTAAGAACTTTTTAAAGTTCGTTATGAAACATTTATACTTTTTAATCTATCTCAGGAGTAACAATTCGCAAAAATCTTCACTTGTGTTATACGGCACTCAGGACTAATTAAGTCCTAATAGTTAAACTTTAGAACTACCGGGACTTTAACACTTTTGGGACTAATTTAGTAAGAAAACATGAGTTCAAAGTACTTTGTTACAATTTAAATCAATTCTTAAACAAACAAGTCATTAAAATACAATCGTGATAATTTACAATATTTATGAAAAGCAATTAAGCCAAACTTTTCTTATTTTATACTAATATCAGTATCATATTACAAATTAATGTAAATTTAAGGCATTTCCAAAGTTTTCACACAGAGTACTTGATTGTTATCAATATTTTAATACTTATGAGTTTATATTCTTCCAATAATGTAATTACTAAGTACCATTTTTTAATGACTTCGCTAATTCCGTATTACACGTAAAAACAATTTCTTATTTAAGTTATATTTTTTAACTGGCTTGTAATAATGAAGAAGGTTTTATTATTTAAAAATACTTTGCAAAATTTTGATATAAAGAATGAATTGCAAGAGGGACGAGGGGGAAAGGTAATGTGATATGATGAAGAAATATAAAGACATTCTCCGGGGAATAGCTAGATGATAAAAGATATCGGGTGTTTTCCCGGCTCGTTCCTTTCAACGTTACGTACATATATTAAACTTAACAACATGTACGTAGGTACTCGTATACAGTGAAGTATTATAATTTATGTCCTACAAACTTGTAACATATATTATTGAAGTTTATTTCTTTACCATACTAAATTTTTCCTGCTGTTCTACCCACATGAATATATTCTTTATGAAATGAAAAAATTACGTATTTCCAAAGACCTATTCCTCCATAAATTTTTGTTAAAAATTGTTCAAGGCTTAGCTTGGAACACATAGACAGAGAAAATAGTTTGGAATAATATTGTTATCTATTATGATACAAAAATTATACGGGAAAGGGAAAAAAAATACGTCCAACTTCACGAGCTAGATAAATGTTGACGTAGATCTTCTATGAGACGATATAACCTGAGTTAAGCAAGTCCACATTAGGTAGAATGAGAATAAACTTTTGTAAGTTTAACGCATTAATTTCAAATCAATATTACAGATATTTATGAGTTGAACAAGAAAATACGGAGACTATTTTCTAGGTTTCAAAGTCTGCGGAATAAAAAATGAAACCGGGAGCAACCGCTATTGTCTTTAACAACTTAATTAGCTTAAAAAACCTAAATTAGAAATATCGACATATATTCAGGTAAATATTGCACGTGCTTCTTAAAACACAAACTGCCTTTAAACATCAACCTTTACAAGCCTTTTTATGAAGTTTACTGTACAATTATTTTCCCTTTTTTATCACACCATAACTAACTGATACAGATTGGGTCATTTGAGGTCAATGATTTTAATTTGATCTTCGAAGTAGATCCAAAAGTAAATAAAAAGGAAGGAAATAAATTAATTAGCAATAAACTGATCTTCAATCAGCATAGGATATAAACAATATTATAATATACACAATCTCACCAGGGCTATTGTTAATAATGGTCATACAAATAAAAATTTAAATCCAATGTAAAACTCTATAGAAGTCGATTTCTATGCCAGTGGTTGAACTGGTTTTTGATAATCATAAAAGTCGGAAGCAGACAATTTTCACATTGAAATTGTGCTTTGGCTTAGAACACCGATCACTTGTTAACATTCAACGAACTAAAAGCTTGTAAATTGTTTTGTAACTGGGATCTAAAGCTGTCTGGCTTGGAACAAGTGTTTTAAATTTAGCGAAAAAGGCAAGTTAACTTCAGGTTTTCAACAAATTTCTTTCACATAAATTGTGAAGTTGATTGTTTACAAAGTTTCCTACCAGAAATGTATACAGTGAATATTTTGTGGAATAACGTTTGAATGAGAAATCGTTTTGGTAATAATTTTTAAAAAATGGTAAATTTCTATTTAATAAAATGTATAGAAAATATGTATAAGCCAAATGTAGGGATCCCATAAAAATATGTTCGTATCTCTAGTTTCAGTTATTAATACCATTATAAAAATATTTAATGAATTATTTTTCTCTATGGTGCAGATGTTTATGGTAAGGATAGAGACGTTGTAGTTTAATACATACATATACATTCATCTTATTTGTGGATAACTTGCTTGAAAATATTAATATATTGTTGAACTGAATATCAATGAAGAACTTTATTTTTTTTTTAAAACACTGATGTTAATTTAAAATAAATCGATTCTTAAAATAAAATTTATGACTTTATAGTGTTGTCACTTTAAAGTCATAAATTGATAAAAAAATAAATAACTTTAATCTAAAATCATTCTTATTGTTTATTGAGATGTATAAAGGATATTTACAAGAAAAATATGTATCACAGGCAAAGTTCAGCATTATAGTATATCTTCATTTGTAACATATGTTTAATATTCCCTAAATAGATAAACACTATCCAACTGATTGCCTGAAAGTCTTATTGCTAGAACGCAGAGGATTTTTTTAGATATCACAGTGAATGATTATATTATTTCCGCATTTTATTTTCCTCTTTATATTTTCATCTCCCCGTGATATTAACAAGCATTAATCACATGTCTAAACTCGAAATCAATAGACCGTATAACGCCCATGGCAGTTTAGTTAAGATTAAACAATCTAACAGAAGCTGTATTCTACATATACAAGAAATTTATTTATTTTATGCCCCCAATAAAGTTGTCAAAGAATTGATATCCCACGGACATTTGCAGCATATGTAAACTAAACTTAAACTAAACGTAAACTTCGGAAGCATTGCCGACCATCCTTTCCGTTGTAAGAGGAAATTATACCCTTAAATTTATAAAAGGTGAGATGACTTTGGTAAGAACTTTAAAAAAGTTATTTTGTATAATAATGATTTTGTACAATTGAAAAAATAAAGTGAATAAAACACATTCAATTAGACAAGATTGATGAACAACAACGTAACTATTATGACGTTACAACGTAACTATTATGACGTTATTATTTAAGTTGGAAGCGAAATTGTAAAAGTAAATTCAAGGAATATATAGACTTTGAAGTAGCTATCCCAACTGTGTAAACAAATATCTCAGTCACGAAGTGACACATTGCTCTTTAGAATATAGAAAGCTAGCTTTTAGGAGTTCTGTTTTCACTGCAATCCACTTTTAAACAATTCGCCATGCCCGTTTTTCAATTTGTAAATAAAACTGTATACAAATACCAAGTTTCGTATAACCTTCTGAAGAGACAAAATTTTAAGTTCCTTCTAAATTTACTGAAATATAAATAATCGTTAGAGTAATATAATAAAAAGAAACATAAAGAAATAATGCAAAATTTTGTTCCAAGATTTACTTTAGTATATATATTTACACATAATGTTTATTTCTCGCGACGGACAAACTTTTTATCAAATTGTATTATACATATATAGCGAGGATGCGCGCAGCAACTATTGTTCGCTTCGTTCGGTCCTGCGCACCTGTAGCCCCGCTGGCCCCCGCTAGGCGCCGCTAGCCAGCTAAGCGGGCACTGCGACCGGTTCGTCAGTCCGCATAAACTTTAGCTATGTAACGTATGTCCGTCATCGCTATGTGGCGACCCTCGCACGCTCACCCACGCTTACGAAAAATAATCTCCTTCTGTATGAATAGCTTTTAAGTAGTTTAAATTGTTAAACCTTGTTTATTTCACTAAATATTTATGATAATCAAAAGAATCCTTTTGTTTCTGAAGCTTACATCAAGTTTATGAACAATATCTCATAAAACAATTCATTAATGCAATTAAATAAAATGTATGCAGTTAAATTAATTTAATTTATGTATCTGTGGATTCAAAAAAGAATCACGTATCTTCTAATTGATGACGGAAATATTTTAGTTTCTTCTAAAAATAAATTATATCGTTGTATATAATTTTATATCTTTCCTAATTAATCTTATATATATAAAAATGAATTGTTGAACTGTTCCTAAGTCTCACTAAAATAAAATGTTATATCTCAGAAACGGTGGCTCGTAAGAAAAGAAGTATTGATACATTTGGTATAGATAATTTTATGATCTTTAATTTTTGTCTGAGGTACTTTTCTGATAAAACTTACCGTTTTGCTGAAAATCGCGAAAAACTCATTTTTTTACATTTGACCTTCAATAAATTTTTTTTCACACACTGGAATGATGGGGAACTTTCAGCTATTGTTTATAATCGTGTTTTGAACAATTGTACCAAAATTCAGCTTGTTGCGAATTTATGTAATTTCACCCTAATTTTATGGTCTAATTTGACCGGACTATATATTATTATTTATATAATACATTGAAGGTTATATGCGATATTAAGTCTTGCTACAGTGGCTGGGCGGAGGGTGGCTCGGCTCCACACTCGCCTTCAGCATCACGACTTGGCAGTCGCAAGTCATCATTGACATCCATATCATCTCTTAGCAGCCAATGTTCCGATCAGCATGGTGAGTATTACAAGCACATACACCACACAGCACACAGCACACAGCACACAGCACACAGCACACAGCACACAGCACACAGCACACAGCACACAGCACACAGCACACAGCACACAGCACACAGCACACAGCAAAAATCGCGGTTGAAAATCGCGGATGAAAATCGCGGTTGAAAATCACGGTTGAAAATCACGGTTGAAAATCGCGGATGAAAATCGCGGATGAAAATCGCGGATGAAAATCGCGGATGAAAATCGCGGTTGAAAATCGCGGATGAAAATCGCGGATGAAAATCGCGGATGAAAATCGCGGTTGAAAATCGCGGATGAAAATCGCGGTTGAAAATCGCGGTTGAAAATCGCGGATGAAAATCGCGGTTGAAAATCGCGGATGAAAATCGCGGATGAAAATCGCGGTTGAAAATCGCGGATGAAAATCGCGGTTGAAAATCGCGGATGAAAATCGCGGTTGAAAATCGCGGATGAAAATCGCGGATGAAAATCGCGGTTGAAAATCGCGGTTGAAAATCGCGGATGAAAATCGCGGTTGAAAATCGCGGATGAAAATCGCGGATGAAAATCGCGGATGAAAATCGCGGATGAAAATCGCGGATGAAAATTGCGGTTGAAAATCGCGGATGAAAATCGCGGTTGAAAATCGCGGATGAAAATCGCGGATGAAAATCGCGGATGAAAATCGCGGTTGAAAATCGTGGATGAAAATCGCGGATGAAAATCGCGGTTGAAAATCGCGGATGAAAATCGCGGTTGAAAATCGCGGTTGAAAATCGCGGATGAAAATCGCGGTTGAAAATCGCGGATGAAAATCGCGGATGAAAATCGCGGATGAAAATCGCGGTTGAAAATCGCGGATGAAAATCGCGGTTGAAAATCGCGGATGAAAATCGCGGTTGAAAATCGCGGATGAAAATCGCGGTTGAAAATCGCGGATGAAAATCGCGGATGAAAATCGCAGTTGAAAATCGCGGATGAAAATCGCGGTTGAAAATCGCGGTTGAAAATCGCGGTTGAAAATCGCGGATGAAAATCGCGGATGAAAATCGCGGTTGAAAATCGCGGATGAAAATCACGGTTGAAAATCGCGGATGAAAATCGCGGATGAAAATCGCGGATGAAAATCGCGGTTGAAAATCGCGGTTGAAAATCGCGGATGAAAATCGCGTTTGTGGTTATTTGCCTTTGCGCTCTGGCTACCGAAAGACTAACCGCTTTGGTGTTTGTTTCATGTCAATCGGTTCATAAATAAAAAAGTTATGTCAAATTAAAGAACTGAAGAACTGCGTTCAATATTCGACCGGGTGTGTCAATTGTATGTGGCTCTGTCCCGTGTTGCTTATCCCAACAGCCTGTATGCTTTCACCCCCGATGGCCATACGTCTAATATTGTATAGACAAGCATTACAGTATAGGGTTTTTTAGCTACCCAAAATGACTGTGATTATGATCCAAAATAAAAATAAGTATATATTTAAAAAAAATGCTGCGCATAGTCACTATTATTATTATTATTATTAGTCAATAAAATATTTAAGACAAAGGACTAAGCGCATTCTTAGTTATAATTATAATACTTATGATCATCTGGAATAATTTATAATGTACATCTCAAAAGTAACACCTCCAATTTTAAAATGATATCAGAAATAACCTTGTAGTTATATAATTCGCTCTATTAACTTTATCTATCGCCTCCCAAACGACAGGACTCATTTAGATTTCATTTTGTGTATATTTGAATTTCGCTACAGATCCAATCCCACTCGGACCAAGTTATTCAGTATTACTCATCGTGATCTAATATAAACAATATTTGATAACAACAAACTTATAACAATAACGAACGAATTAAAATAAAATAACGATAAATTAATAACAGAACGGAAGAACACCAGTATCAAACACTCGCGAATTGTAAGCAAAGCTAAAAACAAAACAAAATAAACATTATGGCGGGAATAGAATGCAACAAAATTACGTAGTTACGTTTCGTTTAACTTTATTTGCGTTAAAAAAAAATTAATAATTTAAAATGTAACCGCAATAAAATTTATTAAATTTTATCTGATATACAGGGTGACATGTGAATTACTATCGATACTTAAGGACGTGATATTTGACGATCATATATGACCAAATAAAAATTAATATAACATAAATATTAATAAACTTCTAAGTGAAGTTAACCAAAAGTTATGTAATTAATTACGCAACGTGTGAACACCCTACAGATTAGGTATACACACAAACACACACACGCGTCCGGCGGCGTGGTGTTGTATCAGCACGCCGCCGCACGCGTCCACACTTGGAACACTTGGAACGTGTCCACACTTTATTTATTTATCCGGAAATTTGGTCACAAATTAAGTACCTATTTTTTTTACATAATTCGAATGAGAATCATGTACAGAGTATTCTCCTTAAATATTGATAGTAATTCACCAGTCACCCTGTATATAAATGTATTGGAAGAAATTGTAAATATATGTGGTTGAAACAGTGATTGTAGTGCTATATTTATGCCAGCCAAAACAATATGTCTTTTTTTAATGTGTGTAATGAAACGTTGTGTATATGATAACATTCTTAACCTGTTGTGGTTATACTACCATTATAATACGACTAAAAATATACACCACCAATTACGAAGAGCCTGTATCGCTATTTAATACCTTCCTAAATCTGCCAATTGCTTAAGAAACACTCCAAATGTTACAAACCTGCGATTTCTTTACGTCAGTATTAAAATATAGGGTTGTTAGTTTTGTAGTAATATTATAATGGTAATTAAAGATTTTTTTTGACAGTTTTGACAGCAAAAATTAATTGTTTTTATTTTTCAATTTGTTAAATGATTTATTAGTTTTATTTAAAAATTTCATCATAATAATTCTGTGCAATGACTACAATAAACACTCGAGCTAAATCTCCAACCAGAGCAGAGGCCATAGCCAAAGCTTTGAAACCTGGTCCGGTTTTCTGTACAGGAGTACTCCTAGATAACGGACGAGGCAATGGCGGTATAACCATACGCCCTACTGAAGTCATCATCAAGTTACACGAGTGGCGACGTGTTGTGAAGCGTGCCACCGCACATCATGATGACCACGACCGTTCTGCCAAGAACGTATCGACTTAGAAGAAGAAGAAGAAGAATTAAAGATTTTTATACTTTTATTTTGAGCTAATTTTCATATAAATTATGTATTGACCGGCTAAATAAATTTTTTGGATTCTATATTAAATTAAAAATTTTCTGTTTAAACAGGAAATTGTGTTATAATTGTGTTATATGTAGTTGTAATTAAAATAATAATTATTTTTTATTAAGAGTGTATCAACCCTAATTATGATGACTCATGGTTTGTTTACTAAAATTCCAGATCGAATGCGGCTGGAGTATAGAGTGCCTATCAAAATTTGGTCGCTATTATTTTTAATTAAATTATTTGAATTAATTTTTTCGAAAAAAATCCGTTTATTTATTTCTTAAATAAAAAACCTATAACATGATAGTAATTTCAATGAAGATTCTAAAAAAATCACAGTGGCCTTTGTTCACCTAGCCGCACCTCTTCGCTGCCAGGTGTAAACAGGTACGATTTCGATAAATTTATACGTTTATAACGTATATTCATAAATTATATATCAGATTGAAACTAATTTTTTTTAATTAATTATCACATATGGATGTTTCATTAAATCTGGCCGCAAATAGGGTTGCTGGCTGTTGAAAATGATAAATATTTAAGGTACAGCGAAAGAGACTTAGCGCGTAACATCATTTGTCAGACGAGGATAGCAAATACCAGCTGTGCGACACTTTGAAGTGCATGCGTCGATGGTTAGTGCTTTTAACTACCGGGGAATAAATAGAGACGACTCATAATAAATACTCCAAAAAATGTGTAATTTTTTTCAAACAAATAATCGATGAACGCACCAATCCTGCAGTGGGATCTCGTACTATACGACATTTTAAACAATACAAAATAATCAGTGCTTCTCATGCTTAGTTTTACACACACACATACAAACACTTCCTGCGTACATACGCGAGATTTGTAGATCGTCCTTGAGAATTTTTGTACGGTAAGCACAGAGTGGTTGTGCATATCGCCGCTCTGGCTGCATAGCGGCGCTAGCAGTTGGCAAGGGGCGATCGAAAATGTTTCGTTTTAACATTGATAGATGGCACTTATTAATAAATAATAAATCAAATGTATTTTAAATGTCTGTTAACATTTGTATTTCGTAATGAATGATTAAAAAGTATGTAGCTAAGAATTATACAATATAGGTTTAGTTGTTATATGGATAGGGTATGCTGTGTTATTTGCATTTGCATCTATGGTGTGCACGTCACTTCTGCATGTGATGGGACGAAATACTGTCGGAGATAAAAAGGCAAGACGGAAAAGCCTAATATCAAAAAACATTATTACTTTAGTTTTAACAAGGTCATCGTACGTAAAGAATTTATTAATATAAAAAAAAAATATATACTTAAACTTGTATCGGAAAAATGTTAAAAGAACAGTCAAATTGTCGTAAAACGATCTCATTTATGTTTGACATAAATCTCCATTAAACTGTACACAAAGTAAGTTTATTTGGAAGAAGGAAAAGCGAAAACATGAAGGAATGTACACGACGAAATCGTTTTCATGAGAATTACGAGTGTGGTATGAAAAGAGCGGATGTATACTTCTCGTTGCTACAGTGTTTTAAATATATAGCTGTACTGAGCATATAACAAAATACAAATCAATGCTTAATGTTCTAATAAATAAGAAAATACTATAGTTAGATAATCCATTTCTGTGTAAGTTTCGAAAAAAAACAAGTGTATATATTTTACTACTCATAGATTTGATACAATTACTGTCATTTGGTATTCAAATTTATCTTTTAATGTTATAGTTATAGAAAAATTTATTTTAAATAATAATATGCAGTAAGATTTAGTTTTAACCAAGTATGCTAAAAGATTGTCACTAACAAAATTTTATTATTCAAAATAGCTCCAAAAGTACTCATCGTGAAATAGGTAAAGAATTAGAGTTAAAATCATTGTGGATGAGATAAGTTCTTTATCATTATATTTAACGGATTGTTTATATTTTAGAAACAAATAAAAATACCACTAGCAT